GCAATGTGATATTGGCCATGGGAAACCCCAAATTCCCAATTGCTCTTTCTCAGGGGGTGGCCTGCAAAAGAACGGCCTCTGTCCTGGTTCTTTAAATATCATCAAGGAGCACAAACTGTAGGTACCTCACTTAAAATGCAGAGGGGTTTGGTTGCCATAGATATTGTATGCAAATAAAGCATGCATTTTTATGGAGAAAAAGAGATTCAGGAGGAAAATGTTTATTTTCAAGAATTTGAAAGGCTGATCACTGGAAGAGAGTTCAACGCTTCTTTAGAAGTATCATGAGTTGTCCCCGAGGCAGGACTAGACCTGGTGTTGTTGGTATCAGTTTCTCCTCTGGGTCTAGATGAGAACATCTCGCAGGGCACACAGGCGCTAAGTGCGCTGGCCCTTGCTGGTTCCAGCCGGTGTCTCGCGCTGTCCCCCAACACTGTCACCTGTTTACTCAGCAATTCTTTCAGTTCCTCTGTGCCCCTGCCTCTGTCACATACACAATTTACAATTACAGTGCTGGCACAAAGATGTCTCTTCCTAAATATCTCTATTGGACGGGGAGCCATGTAAGTGATAGCAGACTCATTGCTCTTATGCATGCTTTGTTTAATTGATTGATTGTCATTCAACAAACAGTTATAGAGTTCCTACCATGTGTGAGGCTAATGCCATCTCCAGGCCTTGGTCTCCATAGCACTTCTCTGCTCCTCAAATAAGATCCTCCCAGAGCACTTCCATGGTTTTCTACCCTGGCAGGTATCATACTGCGTTTGACTGTTTATCAGCTCGTTTGAGTCTCCCACCTGGACTAGAAGGTTTTTCACAATGACAGGGACTGTACCCATTTGGTAAATGATTACTTCCGTGATGTCTAACACACATGTTAGAATCCACACATCCCTGTTGCTTAATGATGGATAAACAAATTAATCGACACAAAAGTGAGTTTTCTGTCAGTTGAGGTGTTTTCGCAGGGGGTTGGGGGATGCCTGTCTAATAGAGATCTTTGAGCAGAGGCGTGTCCTTTGGGTATTATACAAACCACACCACATTGTAATTGCTGACTTACTGAGCTCACTTCCCCCTTCGACTGTGAGCTCCTTGAGAACAGGAACAGAGTTCTATTTGTCTTTGAAATCCTACACAATACACTCAATGTTCGGAAAGTTCATACAAAGTCTATTTTTTGAGAATGGACTGTTTACAGAAAAAAAGAACGCTGGAGCACTGGAGAAAAAAGATGGCAATAATATAATCCACTTGCTTTGCCAGGCCATTAAGAAGAATTTGGTAAATATTAGCTAATGTCCAGCCCTATGCTTGCTATTAAGATTTGCTGATTTCAACAGAAAGTGACCTAGAAACTGTGCATGTTACATAATCCAGGGCCAATTTCTAATCGCCCAATAGTTCCAAAAATACATATTGTATTTGTCTGTGGTAGGATTAAATGCCATTGTCTAAGCAAAGTCAGATATAGGCTGTGTATAATGGGACTGCCATGTGACTGATGGGTTTGGTCAGAGGATGAATTTATCCTGTATTCTTGCATTCTCTAGGTATAAATCTTCTCACTGTCTGAGTAAATAAATCAACAGCATTGGTTAACCCAGTGCATGTAGAAAGTACCTTCAGTAAGTGCCAGATTTTACAAAATAAATCCGACAATAAAGGCTGCTTTTAAATCTCAATTTCTTAAACAACAGTGACTGCTGTGTAGAGAGATTAACATGGTATCTTGTTTCTTCCTGGTGTGATCTTATTTTTGTCTTACAAATATGTACTTACCTACGTCTGTGTCATTCACCTGCATCTTTGTGAATGCTTAGAAATCTCAGTATCTCAGAAGTGTGCTTCAGGGAATATGCTGGGAGATTGATGATAACTAATTGTTTCTGGTGAAAGGTATTGGGCACAAACTAGGAGGAAGAGCGAGAGAGCTATTGAACATGGTAAAGGAGAGGAGGAAAATGCCGGAACAGAGGCTGTGCCTGCTGCCCAGGGACTTTAGCTGGTGGCTTGTCAAGTCTTAGCATGATGGTATTCAAGCCATGTGAGGTTTGGGAAAAAAATACGTACCCAGCTTGGGGCTTGGCCTGAGAACGGCCAATTACCTTGGTTTAAACCACACAGCTCCACTATCAAATTAATGTTTTCAGGCTAATACAAATTAGCATCGGTCCACTGGCCAAAGCCTACCATAAATTAGGCTGGGTTTGAAAGAAATCAGCCTCTGCTTACAGAGACCAGCTCCCAACACTTCCTCCTTGCTTTTCCCAGCCGTGGATGCTTCGGGACAGAATATGTTTAAAATGTTGGTAAGTGTGGGCGATCTGGGGAAAGCTTTTTTTTAAGCTGGTTGCTTTTGTTCCTGCTCTTTGCAAGGCCAGGCAGATAATATTTTCTTAGTAGTACAGGCATGGAAACCCAAACTCATCCAAGAGATAAATCGGGGGCACTCATTTACTCTACAAAAGTGAAATGAATTTGGGTGGGACTACAAGAATAGTGGGGGAGAAAAGCTCAGAGGTTGCTGTGTTAGGAGCTACGTCTGGAATTATAATGTATGACAAAGAGGATGTGAATTCGACTGATGAATGTTGGCTTTAGAAGTTATTGTTTTAGGTGAGATCCACCCTAAGAAGAGCTTTGTAAACAGTATGAGCCTCCATGAACCTGGGAAAGGGAGAGAGTCCCCAGTGGATGGACACAAGGTTAGGGGAGATGTGAGCAGAGAAAAGGGAGAGATTGGGGAAGGAAGAGACCACTTTCCCTGGTGAGCCACACTTAGGACCATCCCCTCATACTCTTTGGGGACTTGAGGTCGATGAGGGTTGGGTGACATGAGGGGCAGGGCCCTCTGAGTGCACTGCTGTCTGCTCTCTTGGTTACATTTTTTTTTTTATTTTTTAGTATCTTTAGAACCTGTCCTTCCAATCACCACAGCCGTGGTTTTCTCATCACCACTTCTAACTGGGGTCTTCTTGTGTTTTCACCTGGTTTAGGGCCATGAGCAAGACGTGGTAGGATATCACTTTTGTTTAAAATTTATCATTAAGTTGGTTTCGCTTCCTAGTTTGTATGAATACACACATTTTTGAAGGGGGATTTTGAAATCTATTTTAGAAACATGTTTGCATTTGATTAAAAATACCACGAAGACATTGCCAACCATAACAGGCACACCTTGGGAGTGGGGTGTGCACAGCTAGGGGAGGAGACCGTCTAGTGTTTATGACCCCAGGGGTTCATCAGTGTTGTCTGTTCGGGGGAAATCCCTTCAGTTTTATGCTGTAAGATGGAAGTTACAATAATGTCATCCATGAGACCTTTGTCCAGATGGTATTTTGAAGTGCTTAATTTATTCAAGGAATGATTCCATTTATGCTTATTGAATAAATAGTAAGCGCCCATGGTCTGTACTAACAGCTGGGATAGAGGAGTGAATAAAACATGGCTCTACCTTTGTGCAGGATTCTTTAAATCAGAGTGCCCCATCCTTCAGCTTGCGGGCAAGGAAGGAAGTGGGAGATACCGATGGTGAGCATCTTACTATTCCTTTTAGGAATCTTGGCATCCCAGGCTTGTGATCCACTGAGAAAACTTCCGTGATCTTATGATGCAACTTGACCAAACAGTATTGAGGAACTCTGTTCTAAATAGTGTCGAGCAAAAAAAAAAAAGGAAGTTGACCAATGCTTCTATTGAAATGTTTCAGAGAAATCTGGTGTTAGAATATGAAACGTTATAACTGAGACACAGTGAGGCAGAGATTTCTCTGACCTGGAAACAGGGAACCTTACGCTCTAGTTGTCATCATGCCGTGATTAGGTCCCCGACTTTGCTGTTGTCTTAATTTTATTGAAGTATATAGTTGATTTACAACGTTGTGCTAATTTCTGTTGAGAGACCTGACTTTGGAAACGTCATTAAAATTTTCTCACTTCCGGGCTTCCCTGGTGGCGCAGCGGTTGAGAGTCCGCCTGCCGATGCAGGGGATGCGGGTTCGTGCCCCGGTCCGGGAAGATCCCACATGCCGCGGAGCGGCTGGGCCCGTGAGCCACGGCCGCTGAGCCTGCGCGTCCGGAGCCTGTGCTCCGCACCAGGATCACTAGATAAATGAGAGAATTGAATTGAATTATAATTTCTCTTGCTATGTGAGTACCCATAGCAGTACATAAGATGATTTAGGTAGTATACTGATGAGCCTTTTTTTCATAGTTATTTATTTCTATATATTAACAAAAATGTAAATAGTGCATCAAGCTTCTGCTTTCACAGATAGTTTTGCTTAACTTAAGACTAAATTTATTAAAGAAAAAAGGAGAATTCATTTAAGGAATACTATCAAATAAATCATAGTACAGGCCATAATTTGTTATCACAAACATTTAAAAAAATTTATTTTATTGAAGCATAGTGGATTTACAATGTGTTAATTTCCATTGTTCAGCAAAGTGATTCAGTTATACACGTATATACATTCTTTTTCCATATTCTTTCCCATTATGGTTTATCACAGGATACTGAATATAGTTCCCTGTGCTATACAGTAGGACCTTGTTGTTTAGCCATCCTACGTATAATAGTTTGCATCTGCCAACCCCAAACTCCCAATCCATTCCTCCCCCATTTCCCTTCCCCTTGGCAGCCACAAGTCTGTTCTCTGTGTCTGCGTTATCACGAACATTTTTAACGTTGGGCGTGACTAAGGTCAGAAAACACATGGATGTATGCTCTCTCAGGTTCCTTTACATTTCTATCTCCCTGGAATTATTTTTTCTCTTTATCTTTAAGCAATATGGCCTTGTAGTGGACATTTTCTACTGACAATAGCATTATGGTATCCAGAACAAGGTTGTCAGCTTGCCCAAGCGATCATTCACCCAGATCGTATTGAATGGCAGTTTCATAGACAGTTAGCTCTTTATGTGAGTCACTTAGTTCACTAGTGTTATACACATAATTTTGTTCTGTTTTGTTTTTCTCTGATGTGATTTCAGGTCAGGTGTTGACAGAAAGAATGTTCAAACATCTTCAGAAATGGTTTGTCGCTCACTTTCTTGGGCGTCCTGTGCAAAGAGCAAGGCTGGTCTCCAAAGATGGAAGGTGTAACATCGAATTTGGCAACGTAGAGGCACAGTCGAGGCTGATATTCTTTGTGGACATCTGGACGACTGTGCTGGACCTCAAGTGGAGATACAAAATGACCATCTTCATCACAGCCTTCTTGGGGAGCTGGTTTTTCTTTGGCCTCCTGTGGTATGCGGTCGCCTACATTCACAAAGATCTCCCTGAGTTCCATCCTTCCGCCAACCACACCCCTTGCGTGGAGCACATTAATGGTCTGACCTCAGCTTTTCTGTTTTCTCTGGAAACGCAAGTGACCATTGGCTATGGATTCAGGTGTGTGACGGAACAGTGTGGCACTGCCATTTTTCTGCTTATCTTCCAGTCTATCCTTGGAGTCATCATCAATTCTTTCATGTGTGGTGCCATTTTAGCCAAGATCTCCCGACCCAAAAAACGCGCCAAGACCATTACTTTCAGCAAGAATGCAGTGATCAGTAAGCGGGGTGGGAAGCTCTGTCTCTTGATCCGAGTGGCTAACCTTCGGAAGAGGCTCCTTATTGGCAGTCACATATACGGAAAGCTTCTGAAGACCACCATCACTCCTGAAGGAGAGACCATCATTTTGGACCAGATCAATATCAACTTTGTGGTTGACGCAGGGAATGAAAACTTATTTTTCATCTCCCCGCTGACAATTTACCATGTCATTGACCACGCTAGCCCCTTCTTCCACATGGCAGCAGAAACCCTTCCCCAGCAGGACTTTGAATTAGTGGTGTTTTTAGACGGCACGGTGGAATCAACCAGTGCTACCTGCCAAGTCCGGACATCCTACATCCCAGAAGAGGTGCTCTGGGGCTATCGTTTTGCTCCCATAGTGTCCAAGACCAAGGAAGGGAAATACCGAGTAGATTTCCATAACTTTAGCAAAACAGTGGAAGTGGAGACGCCTCACTGTGCCATGTGCCTTTATAATGAGAAAGATGCTCAAGCCAGGATGAAGAGAGGCTATGACAACCCCAACTTCATCTTGTCCGAAGTCAGCGAAACAGACGACACCAAAATGTAACAGTGGGTTTTCAACATGAGTAAAGCAAAATCTCGAAGATACCTAGTAACTAGAAACGTTATGGAGCAATCAAGAATTTGAGGGTGTGACAGTGGGACAAGAGCCTTTAAAATCTCCCCGCGCAATGTCCCTGAACCCCATAACCATGATCCTACAAGACACGTAGCTCTACAAGGCAACTGCATGAGAACATGCAATGGGTTTATAGGAAACTGGAATATGGGAGACATAGGAGCTCACATAAAATCTTGAACAGGATTATTTGAAATCATGCAGTGTTGATGGGAACAGACAAAAATCATTGAAAGCCTCATGGACAGACCAAATGAGATCTTTTTTAAGAGTCTTCCCAAAGAAGATATAAGCTTTAGATAGGATCAGGGAAAAAAGATATTCTTATTTTGGTTCTACTGATAAGAAGGAAGCCACGTTTATTTTAACATTGGCTTGTATCAAAGGAAAAACTGTCTCCTGAGTTGGGGGAGATGAACCAATCAAAGTAATAAGAAAAGATGGATGCACAGAGAACATTTGTGAGGCTCTGGCTTTCTCCAGCCCTGGTTGTTGGTGCTTTCATCTAAGTCTGGGTCATGCTGTGTTTCCAGAGGAGCAAGGGGGAGGCTTGGCCCATGGACTCCGCATCTCTACATACAGGAGAGGAGCACAGGGCCCAGCCTGCTCGACGGCACCTCCAGAGCCTGTGGCCAAGCTGGGTGTTGGCCCAAGGACATTTAGACAGAGGCTAAATCACCACTTTAGAATCTCAGTGAACACTTCCCTGCAAGAAAGAATGTTTGATTTGAAAATGAGGGTGATATTTCTTTCAGTTTGTGTTAGATGGGATAAGGGGCTTCAAATCTGTTAAAACAGCACTTCCTGATCTTCCAAGAAGGCAGTGAGGAGTTTGAAGGAGCAAAGACAGTTTACAAGGGAAAATACTGCTAATGCTTCTGAGAAAAATATATCTTGTGTTTTTCACCCGAGGGTTTGTAACTGAAATGCTGTTTCTAAAGGGGAAGTGTGAAAGGGAAGGGAATGGGATGTGACCCCACAGTAAGGAAAGTGCTAGGTCTTCCTTCCTCTGAGGGCCAACACCACATCTTCATCAGACAGACCAATGTAATATAAGGATTGATCTGCAGGGGAAGGTTTTACTGTGAATGTCTTGTTCAGTTTCCTGCTTACGTTATTTTGAATGTATTCTCGAAAAGATGGTACCCAAAGCTGCTTAGGAATCAAAATGTTTTCAGTGTGTTGATTAATACATTAAATCTCTGGGCTTCCCTGGTGGCGCAGTGGTTGGGAGTCCGCCTGCCGATGCAGGGGACGCTGGTTCGTGCCCCGGTCCGGGAGGATCCCACATGCCGCGGGGTGGCTGGGCCCGTGAGCCATGGCCGCTGAGCCTGCACGTCCGGAGCCTGTGGTCCGCAACGGGAGAGGCCACAACGGTGAGAGGCCCGCGTACCGCCAAAAAAAAAAACAACAAAAAACATTAACTCTCTGAAACTGTGATGTAAGTTTGTCTTGAATCCTGCGTGCCCAGGAGGACACGACCTCGGGTGTAGATGTGCCCCGTCCCATGCAGCCCCATCAAACCACTCCAGTGTGAGTCTAGGCATGTAGTCATGGATACCAGTGACTTTGTTTTTGCAGGCCTGGGGTTGAGTTTGTACAGATACACACACACACTCTGGTCCTTCCGACAAAAATGAGTGAGGAGTGTGATGGGTTCAGAGTTGCGCACTTTGACCGTGGCCATAACGGTGGACACGATGGAACCACGTGGGAGATTACTCTGTGCGTGTAAGTGTGTTGCCATCGCCATTTAATCTGCTGACAAAGCTAAAGGAAATCAGGTGTAACAAGCTCGAGGGAGCTGGAATTCTCTGCTGGCCCACTGTCATGAGGGTTTATGACTCTGTAGTGTCTTTATAGACGGAAGGGTCAGAAGACATGCCTTCTAGTCTGTTCTGCTCCTTTTAGCAGATGTTGGGGGATTCTGGTAGCCAAGTGATCATAGGCAATCCATTCCTCTTGATCATTAAGAGAGCAGGACAACTGGGATCTTTGCGAATGGCCTTTCTTTCTGGGTTGTTCGATGGAAGACGTCTGCTTCCAAATATTCCTTTATTAGGATTGAGGCAGTCTGCCCTTTGAAGTCTACTTTTTAATGCAAATTCCCATCGAAACTTTAGCAACTGTTAACATACTTACATCCAACAAAGCCCGGAGGAAATGAGGCCCTGCAGGCACCATGCAATGGTCCTAAGGGGTGGCTGGAACCCCAAAGCAGCATAAGAACTCTGGACATTTGGAGAGAAAGGGTTACCACAGGCATAGGAACTCAGTGAGTAAATAAATTAAATGGAGGACAGAAGGTTCCAGAAGACCAACTTGCCCATAGTTCAATGCCAGTGCTTAAAGGCAGGCTTTCTATTCCAATGTGGTAACAGCGTTCCCACCAGGACCTGGTCACATAGGCACTGCTACCGCTACAGGTGTGCCACATAATTCTATTTACTGATTTACCCATTTTTAAAAGCAATTCAACATTTCTTGTTCCTTTCAAGAAAAACTGCATCTCATGATGCATCACCATATTCAGAGTTTCCCTTGGTACCGATTGCTCTTGAATGGGTTGTTTAGCTCTGTTTCTCCGAGGTTTTGACTTGGAGAGTCTGATCCTGGTTTAAACTTCCAGGACTTAGGTTGGCTCAAGCTCCAGTATTTAGAGTTAAGATGTGGGACACTGTCTAAAAATTTATTCCTCAAGACAGAAAGGGTGGAAGGAAAAGATCCTAAGTTGCCAGATCTAAGGAGTGAGATGCTCAGCTCATCTGTCTGTTTTCATGGACAGCAAAGAACTTCCCTGATAGATGGTGGGGACCGCTGGGGAGCTGTCTTCCCTGGAGACTTTTCATAAAACGGGAGATGGGTCCTCCACAGGGTGACTGCGAGTAGCACGGGGGGCCTGTCCCCTGTCCCGAGCAAACGTGATGAAAACCTCGGATGCCCAGAATGCAAATGAAGCCCTGGCCCCGCCCCCGGGCCGTTGTCCTCCCCATTCCAGGAAGTGTATGTCAATCAAAGCTTGACAGGGGAGATAGAGCATTTTATTTTGGAAGCCAGAAGTTTGAGAGCAATGACTGGAATTTCCTCTTTCTGTCCAGCAAGGGCTGTTTGTCACTGGGGAGATAAAAGTCCAGGGGTAGGGAATAAAGGTTATCGGGATCTGGGCCACACAGAGCCGCGTTGGGGGGCGCCGCGGGAGGAGGGGTTACGGAGGAAATCTATTTCAATGCCTGTCATTAAGTTTCCATTAAAAGAACATTCAGTTAGGAATTCAAAAATAATTTAATCTCCCCAGCCAGATGCACCCAGCTGGACTCCTTGGAGCTGAGCCCTGCAGAGAGGGAGACCTTGCATGGGGGCTGCGGGGGCGAGGGACGGGTGTGGGCCCTCCTGCCTCTCCATCCCAAGCACCCTCCACCGCCCTGGTTGTCCTAGAGGCCGGGAGCATCTTTCAGGCGAGTGAGGAACCCCAGGTTTCTCTTGTGCTATAGTAGGAGAAGCTTACTCTGGGGCTACTTACTGACTTCTTACTATGTCTGAAGTCCTGTTTAAAGCATTTTGTATACACTACCTAATTTTATTTTCCCAATGATCCTGTGAGGTACTATCATTCCACCTATTTTTCACCCGAGGCAGCTCAGGTAAGGAACTTGTCCAGAGTCACTAGCTAGTCAGTGGCAGGGCTGGGACTCAAACCCACATCTGTCTAGAAAGCTTATGGGTTTAAAATCATTCATGTCTACATCCTCTAACATGGATCGCCCTCTGGGAGGACCCACCAGGGCTGCCAGGCATTTACCTGGATCCCATGGATAGTCAGCACCTGTTCCTGGTCCTGGCTCATGCTTCGGGAGAAACCCCTCACTGCTTGGCATGGGGTAGAGCCCCTGGGCAGTGCTTAATAAACATCTTTGGACTTGCATATTCTGGGGAGACTGGTGTCTCCTATGTCTGCATATACCTTAAATATCTGTACTAATTAGATATACGTTGGTTTATTTCAATCTCTCAGTAACCCTTCATTTGAGGGAGAGACAGATATTTCTGTTTTGACAGATGGGGAAATGGAGCCTTGGATAACCCTGGAGAACAGTGTTCATATTCTGTATTCACCTCTGTGTACCTATAGCACCAACACACTGCCTCACATAGTCAATAAATGGGTTTTGAATCAGTAAATGAATGAATGATTTGCTCACGACAACATGGGTAATAGTGGCTTTCAACCCACATCTGCCCAAAGAACTTTTGGCCAAGCTACGTTATTCACTAGGAGAGGGTCCGTGACAAATAACTTCATCGAATCTCAGTTTCCTTATTTGTTAAAGGGAGCTTTGAAACAGGTTTAGGGGGAGGATTAGATGAAATAATCGATGGAAAAATTCCTTTGTAAAAAGTAAATGACTGGGGCTTCCCTGGTGGTGCAGTGGTTGAGAGTCCGCCTGCCGATGTAGGGGACACGGGTTCGTGCCCCGGTCTGGGAGGATCCCACATGCCGCGGAGCGGCTAGGCCCGTGAGCCATGGCCGCTGAGCCTGCGCGTCCGGAGCCTGTGCTCTGCAACAGGAGAGGCTACAACAGTGAGGGGCCTGCGTACCGTAAAAAAAAAAAAAAAAAAAAAAAAAAAAAAAAAAAGCGTAAAAGTAACTGACTTTTGACATGGCAAAGTGGGGTAGGAGCGTGGGTTTGAAGCCAAGAGCACTGCTCCCCGGGGTGGACTCCCGGCCACCTGATGCTTCATGGGCAAAGGAAGAAGGGACCTGGTTGGGGCACTGACAAAGATCAGAGGTCTCCTGAATACTGCAGAGGCCATGAGTTGGGGGAATCTGAGTAGAATCCTGGTACCTTGGGCTTCATTTCAATCCAGTTGGGTGTTCATTGAGGGCCTCCTGTGAGTCAGGCACTGGGGATGCAAGAATGAGGATGCAAGGATGGTCCCTGTCACTGTGATAAAGGATCCTGAGGGGCTTAAACCAGCCTGGGGGACCAGAGCTAAATCAGAGAAGTGCTGATTGTAGAGAAAGTAATTTTTTGCCTTATGAAACATGCATATAGTAGTTTCCAAAAAATGGCATTGACATTACTGCTAACAAGAAGACTATTGATTATGGATTTATAATTATTGGGAATTAAAAAAAAATCTTTATAATATATCCTACTGGGATGTACAGTCAACAAACTGCTGTAAAGTCACTTGAGGGAGTTCTTTTCTCTATGTGACCATGCAGCAATATGACATAGAATTAGGTCCCTTTGTCTCAGCTTATTTCCAACGATGAGAGCTTGCTTATTGTTTTCACTGTTT